CTCGGCCCCTTTCTGTTTCTTGTATATATTAAAAACTTACCTTACATAGTAGGGGATAACCATGATATAGTATTATTTGCTGATGATACTTCATTAATTTTCAAACTAAAACGACAGTTATTAAATTACGACGAAGTAAATAATGCTATAGCTAAGTTAGTCAATTAGTTTAATGTTAATAATTTGCATTTGAATGGAACTAAAACTAAATGTATGAAATTCGTCACTCCTAATGTTAAACATGTCAATACTAATGTAATTTTAAATGGGGAGGAACTGAGTCTTGTTGATACCACCATTTTTCTTGGAATCACACTGGACGCAAAGCTTCAATGGCTCCCCCATATATCAAAACTAGCTAGCTGCTGCTCAGACTTAGTTCTGCAGCATATGCTGTAAAAAAGATTAGAACTCTTACCAGTGTCGAAACAGCTAGAATAGTTTACTTTAGTTATTTCCATAGCATTATGTCGTATGGTGTTTTGCTATGGGGACACGCGACTGACACTGAAATTATATTTATTTTGCAGAAGAGGGCCATTAGAGCAATATACAATTTAAAACCAAAAGAGTTACTGAAACAAAAATTTAAGGAAATCAATATATTAACTCTGGCCTCTCAATACATTTATGAAAATGTAATGTACGAACACAAAAATAAAAGTAATTTTGCGAAAATAAGTGATATTCATTCTGTAAATACTAGAAGCAGACACAAGCTAGTAGTACCAGTTACTCGACTCCACCGAGTCAGTAATTCATTCTTGGGGCGATGTATACGCTTTTACAACAAAATCCCAGAAAATATACAAAATTTGTCATACACAAAGTTCAAAAATGTTATTAAACTAAGTTTGTATAAAAAGGGTTATTATAATATTAAGGAATTTATGGATGATATTAACCCCTGGGAAGGGTGATCGCTACCAAGCTATTTCTAATTTGTCTTGTGTTGTTAATTGTAAACATGATTGTAAGCTATTATTGGAAAAAAAAAATAGTCCCGCTGGGCTTCTTGCTGGTTCTTCCCAGGACAGAGGTAGTTTTGCGAACCAGTGGTAAATTAAAAAAGTGACTTTCAATAAGTATTGTTATAATCTACATTGAATAAAAAAGTTTCTGTTTCTGTTTCAGTGGTAAATACACAATATTTGGCGACGAGGACCTTATTCACGTATTAATGAGTACAATATTTAAATGCAATATTGAAATAGATACCAAGAAATAATGTCGCATAAAGGAAATGTGTTATTCGGCAACAGCCTCACATTTGATCACCACATGCAAGAGTGGGATATTTTTAAGAGTCGATTTGTCCAGTTTTATATGGCAAATGATTATCATGATGACACTGATAAAACAGAAGTTATGAGAAGAGATTTTTGGTTACCTCATTAGCAGAAGATACATGTCGCCTAGTACGTGACTTAGTTTTTCCGTTAAAATAGAATTTAGCTTATAAGACCCTTATTGAAAAGATTGTCAACCAGTTTTCCCCAAATAAATGTACATTTGCGGAAAGATATGTTTTTACAAAACGGAACAAAGAACAGACGAAGACTTAACTGAATGGTCGGCTCGAATTCGTCTTCTCGCACAGTTTTGTGGTTTTAAAATAGAACTAGAGACGGCATTAGGGGCATTAAGTTTGTTAAAAGCTTTTTAGTGAAAACATCGATAGCTTAATATTCAACAAAGCGTTGGAATTAGCACAAAGCTTACGATGTACTCGAGTTACAGTTCAAAGGTCATTGCAAAATGAGGGACTAGTCATATCATCAGCGGCAGCGAGCTCATAGCGTAAGCGTAATCCTAGGTGTACAATTTAAACGGTAAGCCGATGAGATCGGTCGTGTCGATACGCGTAGTGTCAAAGCAAATTATATGTGAAATAGGCAGTGGTAGTGATGTATCTGATCTACCGGAGATGGTTTATCAATCCTATTTTCACAATAATTATTCATTAAACCATTGTAACGTTATTTTAAATTCTTATAACGCACTTGAAAATATCTCCTTTGGGCTATTGTTTATTACCGGTGACGTATAAAAATCGCACTGAAATTATTCGTTTTTATGTTATAAGAACAGATATAAAACAACCAGTTCTGTTGGGTCGTAATTTTGTACGAGTAACGTCCTTTAATATGAAACTATGTATTGATGACTGTAATAACTTAGAACATAATGATTTAGTAAAACGATTGAAGGAAACATATTTACAGTTGTTTACAGATGTGCTGGGAACTTTTACTAAATATAAAGTAACTTTAAAAATAAACAATGATGCTCAGTTAAAGTTTTTTAAGCCGAGAACAGTAGAAACATAAAGTTGAGTTAGAATTAAATAAACTTTTAGATTTAGGTATTTTGGGTACGGGTAGATTATTCAGAGGTAGCGATACCGATCGTACCAGTTCTTCGGTCAGACTATATTGGGTGCTTATTATACGCTTATAACATACGCATATTTGGCGATTATTCAGCGACGTTAAATAAATTTTTATACTCTGATAATTACCCGCTTCCACGATTAGAAGATTTATTTGCTAAGCTTTAATAACGACCCCAACAAAAGAGGAACACCTGAAACGATTAGGTACATCAAGTACTTAAGAAATTACAGGAATGAGGATTTAGATTAAATGACGATAAATGCGATTTATTTCAAGACTCTATTGAGTATTTAGGTTTTATCATAGATAAGTCAGGACTATGTAAATCAAACAATAAAGTGGAATCAATATTAAAAAGTAAATGTCCTAATAATTTCACGGAATTGAACTCATTTTTAGGGCTTATTAATTATTATAGAGGACTTTTAAAAAAAGGCGTAAGGTGGGTATGGAAAGAAAAACATTTAAAAGTATTCAAAAAATCAAATATGTTATAGTCTGACAGGCTGTTGGCACATTATAATCCGGACCTAATTACAATAGTGACGGCTGATGCGGGGCCGAACGGGCTCGGCGCGGTGCTCGCTCACCGACAGCTTGACAGCGTCGAGCGATATGCTATATTTTTGCCCGCATACGATTTTACAATAGAGTATGTCAAAAGTGAAAATAATGTTTCCGATTTTTTATCACGATGTTCAGTAAATAATTGTTCTGAAAATATTGAATGTAGTCCACATCAAACTAATTTAATTATTAATTTTATTAATTATATGTTAAAACCTATTACGTTTAAGGATATTACAAACGAAACTATGCAAGATCAAATACTCTGTAAAATTATATATTTTTTATAAATGTCTGGCCATTGAAAATGCACAACACGGAACTTAAACCGTATTTTAAATGTAAAAATGATGAAGTGTCAGAAATGGGTGCTTATTAAGGGGACATAAAGTGGTTATACCAACAGTTTTTAGGTAAAGTCTAGTTAAATAATTGCACAAGGCCCATTTTGGCATTGTAAAGACTAAACATGAAGCAAGATCGCGTATGTGGTGGCCCAATATTGATAAGCAGATCGCAGAAACAATAGGATCGTGTAGTATTTGCAACTCGCTCCGCTATGATCCACCCCGTTCTCCACTAGCATCGTGGCCGTTTCCGAAACGTCCTTGGAAATGAGTGCATTTAGACATGTTTTCTTTATTCAACAAACAATATTTATTTATTGTAGACGCACATTCAAAGTGGATTGAATGTTTCCAAATGAATAATACAGATAGTGAAGCAATTATCGGCAAACTTTTGGAGATTTTTAGTAGATTTGGGCTATGTCGCACTCTGGTAACCGATAATGCGAGTAAGTTTTGTTCAAATCAATTTGAACACTTTTGTTCGTCAAATGTACAACATTTAACTTTTCCTTCATATCACCCATTAAAATGTACAAAAACAAACATTATCCTCTACATTTATCGAACAAATTAACATCCCCGCTATGAAATCTGTTATATTATATTACACTTCATTTTTTAATTGCGCCGCCCTGGAGGCAAAAAAATTCATGGATTCGCCATTTCCATAATAAGACTTAAGCACCTTAGACTTTACGCTCAACATGATTCTTCCACCCCTGTTAGATACTGTTCCCTATAAGCTCATCATTAAGTGATGTAAAAATTGAAATAATTTGCCGAGTTTATAGACTTTCGATAGTATTTAAAAAATAAATTCTGGATAGGCTCGTAATTTGGCTCTTTTTACTTAATACTGGCTATCTTGTAATCTTAGGGTGTTAAGGGGATGCACCCAGCAACAGTGGCAATATGTTTTCTATTTGGCTAGATACAGCAACAATGCAATCGCAATATCGTCGTCCATATTCGCTGGCTGAATATCTATACTCAATGGTTGGCATCTCTCAACTGAGCCTTGTTATTCCGAACGGGAAAAAAACGTATGTGTGTATGTAAGGAATCCCGAATCGGAATTCCGTATGTATGTGACCAGCCATATGCTCTTTTGCATTATTTTTCAATGACAATACGCCATTTTTTACCGAGCAATTTTTGACGGATGTTAGTGTTCGCGCTATGGATTGTAGAGATAAGGAGAACAAAATATGTATAAAAAAGTGTCCGTAGAAAAGCGCTAAATAGTGTCAATTTTAGAGAAAGAATAGTTAGTGTAAATTTTAAAGAACTTTTTATAATATTTTTTATTGCACATACTTTTCAATATAATTCTTTTTATAATAATTATTTTCTTGTAAAAATATATTATATGCTCGATGGATACATTTTCAACTATTCTCCTATGGGAGATTGTTCTCCGTACCTCTATACTCCATGGTTCGCGCATTCTGTGACTCGGCCGCTTCCTCCCGCGCGCCCCGCACTGCCGCACGTGGCACACAGATTTTGTTCGCATCGTCCGTTCTAGTGCGTAGTACATTATACTTCAATGAATATACAATGCAACACGCAACATAAGAAGGTTTCGCTAGGATGGTTTAAGTTTTAATTATACAATATACAATGCAACGTGCAACATAAGAAGGATTAGAGACAATATTAAAAGAAGAAATATGTTAACAAGTATTTATTCGTTCAGAGAAATAACAAAAGTAGGTTGGTAGTATCCATCAGAGCCCATTGTCTTCCTTTGAGAAAGATGTATGTTATTAATTTCTGTTACGCCGAAGTCATAGTTAGAAAATTTACTTAAAATATCAGAACCATCAAAAGTCTCTCTTATGCTTCTTTTGTTCGAAGTTCTGTCATCATCAGTGTCCAAGGAAGATTTATTTCTATACTTTGAATTCATTAAAGTAACATGTAGTTTAACATTATCTCGACCAAATTCTCTATCCATAAAACCTAAAAAAAAAAAACAATGTTATATAGTAAGTCAAAATAAATCTTGTAAAAAAAGGATTAAATAATTTTAATTTTATTACCTGCTTTATAAAAGTGATCCACTAAACCATCAGTAATCTTTTGAATCATACCAGAAGGACCATCATCTTCTACACAAGAATACAATACATCAATACTTTTTGGATCATCATTCATATATGATAGACCTTTTAATCTTATTTTCAAGGGTAAGTAATCTTTCAGTACAGGCCTAAAAAGAAATTAGGTACATTTATTATGCAAATAAGAACACTTTTTATGCTGTTGCTAAATAACACTAACGTTAATTTATGTTCCTACTAAATTTCGTTCTCATGTTTTATTTTAGTGTCATCATCATTCCAGCTTTATGACAATGTTCACTGCCGTGCATAGGGCTCCCTCAAGGAATGCCACAATGCACAGTCCTGTACAACCCATCCCAACAGAATCCATTGACTTCCTACATCTCTTATCAGGTCAACAACACACCATCGAGTGAAAGAGCTGCTCAACACTGGGTCGAAAATTTTATTCATCTGTTTTTTTTTTTTAAATAGAATAAGGGCACTGAATAAATAAATGCCTACAGAAGTTGCACTCATTTAATGTTGACTGCTTGCCGATGTTTAATAGCCTACATAATTATTGTTAATAAGATAAATTGCGCACGCAAGCTAAATAAACCTTTATCGCTGCGCGCGAGTGTCCGTATTACTTTGCATCTTTTCCCCTTCCTACATCACGGCTGTCTTTCCTTGGTAATGTGTATAATGTACATTTAAATGTACATAAATTTATAAATTAAGGTTGGTGTGTTATTGTAATATGTTGTGTGCAATAAGGAGTATAAGTTAATTAATTAATACGTTGCGAAATGACAAGTAAAATAGGTAAGGTACATTCTGACTGATCGAATGAACATATTTTTGCTATTATGCGAATTCTGTGCCTCACGCATGAAACTTGCAAGGTCACTTGTTGCGAATCGTGATTTAATAAGTCGCTCGGAAGAAATAGGTACGATTCCTAAATGAAATGCGATTATATTCTAATTAGTTACAAATCTTGTAAACAAAGTTTTAATTTTAGTGCTTTGTGTTATTATAACTTAAAATATTTTAATTACTAGACATGTAAGTTACCTACTTAGATAGTGAAATAAATTTCAACTAAGTTTTGAAATAAAGTACTTAGGTATTACTTCTGTATTTAAATTATTACTTAATTCTCTTTTGCTATAAGTATTTATTTAACAAAAAAAATGAAATAAATGTACCTTTCATTATCCCTAGGTAACACAAAAAATGATATATCTGAATAATCCTTTTCTTTGCTCATTAAGCATCCATCCACGCAACAGTTATAGTAGGTTCGCCATTATAATTTCGAAGTTTTGCCATTATAATTTATCAAATAAATAGATAATATACACATATATTATTTTTAAATCACATTTAATTTTTTTTGAACTATTTTACCCTACAATTAAACAAAAGTGTTTACAAAAAACTATTTACGTAAACAGCGTTAAAATTCATCAATCGCCTACAACGCGCTAGCTCCGACTGCGTATTATGCCCCATTTACATTCAGCCCGTTTGGGCAGGGAAGTGAGCAGGGCAGTGAGCAGGGCAGTATGTAAACAGGCTACTCGCGCTGACACTGCCGCTGCCGCTGACACTGCCCGAAATGTCGGTTTTTCGTGCGGAAGTCAAAGGACGGGCAGCGCGAGCGGCAGTGTGTGTTCACATTCAGCTCCATCGCTCACTTCGCGACAAGCGCCTGGATGAACGGACGTGCGTGCCGTCCTGTTATTAAATAAATACGATCTACCAAAATGCCTTTCGAGTGGATTAATGAAAATACAATAAAGTTTTTAGAACTGCTGGAATCAGAAAAAACTATATGGGATTTCAACGATAAAAACCACAATTCATCATCTTCTACGAATACGAATTTTCTTTTTTGAGTTAACATAGTACCTATGTACATAATTAATTATAAATTCGTCAAATTTATTATATTAATATAAAATTTAGTTTAAGGAATTAATGAACATTGACATTTTATTTCTAAAAACGATTAGTAACTCATATTGATTATTTATTAATTAAAATGTAAAATAAGTTAAAAAGGTAATATTTGCATAATAGCCTGAGATTTTTAAATTATAATTTTATTGTAATTAAAATTACGAATTAGTTTATACTGAAGTGTAATTAATAAAATAATAATAGCTTAACTAATCTCATATAATATTTAATATTATTTATGTAACAATAATATAATAATTCAGTTAACAATTTATGAACAATTTACTGTATAAGAATTCAAATAGAGTGGATCTGTATAAGTATTTAATTGTACATAATATTTGAATTCAAAAAAGAATGTGTGTACCTAACTTTTTAAGCAACATCGGGTTTGTGTAATTAGCTGTATTTCATATCATTTTTTCCATGCCAATTATGGCAAAACATGTCAGTTCCACGTCATTGATCATCTTATGTACCATGTTTTTAAGCAAATAAATTTTCTATCTATCTATCTATCTTCTTTTGAACTTGATATCTTTTTAAATTATTAACATAATTTTGTATTGCAAGAAGACACAGCGCGGACGCTGTAATTATTTCGACGTCCGCCATAGTCGAAAGCCGAAAGCGATGTGAGTGGTAGGGCAGAGTGTGAATACACACTTCCCGCGATCCTGCTACGGCAGTATTTAGGGAAGTATTGCCGGCAGCGCGAGGAGCAGTGGCAGTGGCTGAATGTAAATGGGGCTTTACACCGTCGGTGATTTGCAATTTTAGGTAATTATTTCACGCAAGTAGCAAGAGTGACAGAGGTCTGATAAGGGTGACAAACGAGCACACAGTCCACCTGATGTTAAGTGGATGCTGTGGTCTATAGACATCTACATTTATCTTCCATTAAGAATCAAAATTCAGATGCGTTGCCAGCCCTGAGGACTGAGATGGAATGCCTGGTTTCCAGTAAAAAGGGTCTCCGGTTCTCTACACTTACCATATGCAACATAGCAGTAATAAGCTGCTATTTTACGCTGGTAATCTGTGAGAGCGTGCTGCAACCACAATATAGCTAGCGATAAGGATCTCCTAGGTGTGAGTTGTTTGTGGTTAGCAGTGGCTACATACAACCGCCGGTACGACACACTCCGCCGATCGTTGAGTACGCTGATTCCGTGAGGCGTCGAGGTCACCGGCCCCTAGGCAGATTCTTAGGCGCTCTAAAACGTTTCTAGTTTTAACAGTGCCTAGTCGCGTTTTGAGTGCCACCATTTGCACTTCCCCCAACCCTTTCATTAGGAAAGGGGTAGGCAGTGCCCCAGTGCCTATACCAACATCATATATCACCCTTACCATCGCGTCGCGCATCTCAGCCTGTCGTCGTTGGTAACACACAGATAGGGCCCACAAGAGTACGTTCGAACACTACATATTAGGTAGGTTATAGCGCCATGTCGGACAAGGGGGAACCACCCCCTCCACGGACTAGAAAACCACTGGACAAGAAAGGAATACTGGATCGACCTTTGTTAGTTAGGGATCTAGCGAACCCGGAACACTCTAAAGTAGTGTCGTCCTTCTCGCAGATCCCTACTAGGAAGCCCGTCTCGCTGCGGAAGGAGCCCGCACCGGGCGTCGTGCTCACGCCGGCCGTGTCTGAGCACACGGTTACGCAGGAACCGTCGCCCCAGTTGCAGCGGGCGAAGAAAACTGCCAGACGCCATACACCACCCGAGACCGAGGCCTCTTTATTCGAAAAGAGGCAACGAATCGGCTCCAATTTGTCATCTTCCGATGTACCAACATCCTCATCGGAAGATGAAGATCACCACCAAGCGACAACGAAGAGGGTGCACAAGTCACCGCCGAAGTCGCCTTCACCACCACAACCTCCCTGCTCTATGTCACCGGACCGGCGTAGCCACGACTCGGCCCAGTACGAGCAGTCCGGGCTCCCACAGGACGATGGTCAACGGCCATCTACAAGTTATGCCCAGGACCAGCAGTGCCACGACCGCAAGCGGCGGTAGAGCCTGCTGACAAGCCTGCCGACCAGGATCGAGAGTTTCGCACCATCCAGAGGGAAGAGATACATGGTCGAGTTCTCGAAAGACATACCAACATGGGGAGTTATACGGAGGAGACAAGCGGGCATCCGGGGACTACCTATGGGCATGGATACCAAAGCAATAAAGGAGGCTATAAGGGCAAAAAACTGCTTCAGGCCAGTGAAGTGTGTGCGCTGTGTCGGGGAGCACATAGCAAGTCTTTGCCCTCGGGGTAGGGAGGAGGAACCCAAGTGTGCTAACTGTGGCAAAAATCACACGGCAAACGGTCGCCGCTGCCCAGTCCTGAGGAGGACTGCTAGGAGGCAGGGGATCACCTTGCCGGGACTACTCCCGGAGGACCCGAAAAAGATCCCCCAGAGTCGCCCAAGAGCGATAACTATCCAAGAGGACGGGTGGGCTATCGTAACAGTGATGGGTAGGCAACCAGAGCAACACCTATGGAAACGGTGGAACCCGCAGAAGCAAGGGCAACCACAGGGGCGACTCTACAGCCCCCCGCTAATGCCGCCACAGGGCGGCATCTACAAGTTTTGCCCATATGATAGCAGCACCAGCAGTGCCACGACCGCAAGCGGCGGTAGAGCCTGCTGACAAGCTTGCCGATCAGGATCGAGAGTTCCGCACCATCCAGAGATACATGGTCGAGCTCTCGAAAGACATACCAACATTGTCGTGGTACTGTTATACCCCGGAGGAGGACAAGCCCACTAAAGTGGGCATCCGGGGACTACCTATGGGCACGGATACCAAAGCAATAAAGGAGGCTATAAGGGCAAAAAACTGCTTCAGGCCAGTGAAGTGTGTGCGCGGTGTCGGGGAGCACATAGCAAGTCTTTGCCCTCGGGGTAGGGAGGAGGAACCCAAGTGTGCCAACTGTGGCAAAAATCACACGGCAAACGATCGCCGCTGCCCAGTCCTGAGGAGGACTGCTAGGAGGCAGGGGATCACCTTGCCGGGACTACTCCCGGAGGACCCGAAAAAGATCCCCCAGAGTCGCCCAAGAGCGATAACTATCCAAGAGGACGGGTGGGCTATCGTAACAGTGATGGGTAGGCAACCAGCCCCCCCCCCACCTGCAACACCTATGGAAACGGTGGAACCCGCAGAAGCAAGGGCAACCACAGGGGCGA